AAGCCAATTGCAGGATAAGGTAATACAGAGGCAATTCTTACTATAGCAGGTCGCACATAGGTACTCAATGAGCAACCAGGTGAGTCTTCATTTGTAATTTAGGTACTGGAGAAAATAACTCTCCAGAAAATTTTAATAGTTTAAATAATTATTACAAAGCCTAATAAAGTGAAGACAAGACTGCCGAATTATAAAAAAAAAAAAAATAGTGCCATAGTGCATTACTTAATACACCGTTTTAGCTGATTGAGCTTTTTAGTTTGGTTTTAACACTACTGTATAGCACTGCATATAATATTTCCAAAATAGTATAATTTAATTATTAGATTAGTGTAGTACTCAGACTATATAGTACTAAATAGTAATTGTTTTTTTTTTGCTACTTTTTCATACTACCATTTTTTTCTATAAAATGGGTTTAAAGAATTTTATTAATTTAAACTTTCTTGAATTATACAGGCAAAAATTAAACATTAGAGAAGCGATAACTTATATTGCAAAATCATGGGATGAAGTCAAAACATCAACAATTGTTAATTGTTGGGTAAAAACTGAAATTCTTCCAGAATTATTTGGTGATAAAATTGAAGATGCTACTTTTGCCCTGTAAGACTTGGTAGATGTTAAAAATGATGAAAATGACAAATTAATTGTAGATCTAGCAATGAATTCATTAGACTGAACAATTAAGTGTAAAATAAATAGTTTCAACAATTTAAATAATTCTCAAATACTTATAGAGAATACTCTTAACAAAATGCAAATTGTAAATATTGTGCTAGATGAACAACAAGAATGTGAAGAAGGTGATACAAGTGATACAAACAATAAACTATCTGAAGTTCCTGTTGTAAAGAGATTAAATGGTTTAAAAAAATTTGTTGCCTTTTTTGAGCAACAAAAAAATAATAATTTTAATATAGAAGATTTGAGGGTTTTTAGGAAATATATGTTATTAATGGGGAGAAAATATATAGAATTAGTGAAGCAAAAATCAATTTCTAACTTTTTCTTACCTATATAATTAATAGCAGAGTAATTTTTTTAGGGTAATTTTTTTTTTTTTTTGAAATTTTTTTTTTGTTTTTTTTCTTCAAGCTAGGAAATTTTTAATGTTTTTACAGTATTAGTTTATTATACTTGATTATTCAATTTAATATTATGGCAATTTTTGGTGTTAAATCGGTTATTATAACCAATAACTGTAAATAATGTAATATCAATTGGGAAAGGTAAAAGATATTGATTCTTTGGTTTTTACCATTCAGCACTATATTAAAGTACTAAAAATTTTATTTAATTTTTTATTTTTTAATTAATTAATATTTATATATACAGATGCAGAATTCATAAATGTGATTTAATTTTGAACCTTTTTTTTTTGCAAAGATTTTGTAAATTTTTTCTTTTAAAATAAGGGAGCTAACAAAAAAAAGTTTATTATAAGGTCACTCTTCATCTTTCTCTAGAACAATTACAAGTTCTAAAATAATCAATTAACTTCTTGTATATTTTTATATACCCTTTGTATAATTATATATGTTTATGCATAAATATGCGAGTTTATATATAGACCTGCATAATTATGCAAGAGTGTATAAAAAATATGCAAAGGTTAATTGATTACTTTAAAACTTGTTATTGTTCTAGAGAGGAAGAAGAAGAGAAACCCTATAATGAGCTCTTTTCTGTTAGCTCTCTAAAATTTTTGAGATGTTTTTATAGTATTATCTTACTCAATATATTGCTGTTAATATTATTGCAATTCTAGTACCAAATTGTTCATTATAATTGTAGATAATTGTGATCTGAATTATTTTCATTTAAAAGATAAATTACCAACTTTTTGACTTTACTATTTAGTGCTACTTTTTAGTACCTTCGGGTTTTATTCAAACCTATTTTTAAAATTGGTTAGTGTCTAGATATATAGATATAGTATTTTGAGTATTACTAATTTTTTGACTTTACTATTTAGTACTGTTTATAGTACCTCTGGGTCTTATTTTAAAATTGGTTAATGCCTGGGTATATAGATGTAGTATCTTGAATAACTTAATTTTACAAATTGAATAAACTATAATACTGTACTGTATTAAGGTAGCATATCCCAATATTAATAATTTAATTAATGCAATAGTGTCAGGTAGCAAATTATAAGAATAGTTATAGAATTCTTTATAGAATTCTCAATAGATTGCAATACTATCAAAAACATATTCATAGAAAGGAAAGCAATTAATTTTGTGAAACTCAAGTAATAATTTCCTTATAATTTGAAATTTAATCTGAAATCAGGATGATATTCATATAGTTATACCTAGGTATTATTTAAAATTAAGCTAATAAATATAGTAAATAATACCCGAGTCTTAATTATAAGAGATAAAATTAAAAGAAATTACAAATAAGAGCCCAAATATATTGTTAGCTAAAAAAGTCAGTTTAAACATAATAGCATCATAATAAATTAGATATTTTAGAATTTCATTATATCAAATTCATTAAAAAATAAATTGATTATTAGCACAATTTTGAATATTACTACACAAGCCTAATTATATATTATAGAAATTATTTAATATTAAATAAATATATATACTTTTTTCTATTTCTAAGTCTTCGATTACATGTATGCGAATTATGATCTTTTTATTACAATAACTTGATTTTTTGATATCATTTCTCTATGGCTAAGCAACTAAGTTTTTCATAGCTATCCTGCTTGTTTAATTGTAGGTGGTAGCAAAGTTTCATTATTAAAAACACATGATTCTGCATCAACTAGTTAATTATTTTGACAAGTTGGGTTATGAGAAATCAACTTTATTATATAATAAAACTATCTTTGTACTTGTTACAGTAAAATGGTATAGACTATTTTCATTTGTAAGACAAATAGCAAGTAGCTTGTTTGGTTTGTTATTTCTAAACTTATAAGGTAAAGAAAATTTGACAAATTAACTGTTCAAGGCTGAGTAAACATTTTTTATATTAGTAAAAGTATTGTTGATTTGTAATATATCTAATATAGTAATTGTTTTAAGCAGGTTTTTTAAAAATATATTTAGTGAATTGAATAGATTAAAAGAAATATATACATTTTTTATTACGTATTTCAATTTATATTTAAATTACTAATTTATTATTATTATATTTTTTATATAGTTGATAATTAATGACTATATTATATATCATATTCGAGTCATTGATTGATGGAAATTGATCATAGATATTTGAGCAAAATAATTTTTATTAATTGATAAATTACCACTTTAAAATTATATTGTGTTAATTATATTATATTATGTGATTATGTGAAGGGAATTCCATTTAATCACACCTCTATACAATTATTAGATAAATTGGGTAATTGTAAAGAAGGATGACTATACATATATAAATATATCATAAGCTTTGATTTTTAAAATCTATAAGTAAAGCTAATTTTTTTAAAACTTTGAAGCTAAATAACTTTTGATTTACTAATTCTTTTGAATTATTTTACCACCAAAATGTTTATCTCTTTGAGACTATTCCAACAAGCCCAAAATTATAAAAATCCAATTATAAGATTATAAGAAAATATGCTATCAAATAAGGCAACACATCTGTATAGTAAAACAATTGGTTAAACCAATTGTTTCACTATATAGATGTATCACCTTATTTGACAATGCATTTTCTCATAATCCTGTGATTGGATTTTTATGATTTTGGGCTTGTTGGAATCGTCTCAAAAAGATGAACATTTTGGTAGTAAAATCATTTAAAACGGACTAGTAAATCAAAAGTTATTTAGCTTCAAAGTTTTTAAAAAAATTAGTCTTACTTATAAATTCCAAAATCGGAGCATATGCAATATATTATATACTGTAAACATATTTACAAGATTGATCCTAAAATTGTATTTTCAATTATATATACCGGGTGTCCCAAAAGATCCTATACATGGTCCTTTTTTTTTAAGAGCAGCATAAATAATCATCGTGATCTCTATATATAAGGTAGCCTTAAAAAAAAGGGACCGTGTATAGGAACTTTTGGGACACCCGGAATACAAAATGAACCCCAAATTTGATATATTATTAATAATATATGTATATAAAGATAGTTTAAAGAGATACCATCATGAAATTTGAAAACCGATTATAATCGACTATCATCGCTGGTGATGTTGATAATCAAATTATAATCGATAAAATCTTCATCGATTTTATAGCGCTTTGCAAAAAGATGTGACCCCATGATTTTCGTGATGATGAACGAGGAAAATTTCCGAGATTCTAAGTTGTCTATCGCTATTATAGCGCTTTGCAAAAAGATGTGAACATGTGATTTTAGTGATGATGATGGCTAAGAATCACTAAGATTCCAGATTGTCTGTTACTTTATATTTTCGATTGGTTACGTTTATATTTCTTTGAAATCAGTTTAATTCTTAAAATCTCAAAATCTATAAAATCTCCGATTCTCACATGAAAAAATGATCTGCAGTGTTCACATCTTTTTGCAAAGCGCAATAATTCATACTTTCGATCAATTATATTTATATTTATTTGAAATTTGTAAGATTCTTAAAATCTACAGAATCTCTGATTTTCACACGGCACCGTGATCTGCAAATGTCACATCTTTTTGTTTGAAATTTGCCTAAATCAAATTTTTTTAAATATTCCGTGTTCCTTGGCTAGAGTACTATTATGCCCTAATCAGTACGTACCTGGGTATTCTGACAATCACCTGGGTTACCCGGGTCATTGATTAATAATTCCAAATTTTTTACGGAAAAATGCTTAAATGGAATTAAACTGTAATATCGCAGTAACATATTTATTAATAATATTATATATTTTATACTTCTAACGCTAACCATTCTAATCTCGGTTACGATTAGAACGTTACATTAAGAAATATTAAGATCAAATATCAAATATTGTTTACTTAGAATAACCAATTAAAACAATCTGCTATTATTCAATGGTCTTTTCAGAATTCTACATGTGCATTAAGAATTTCGTATCCTTTGTAGAGCAATGGCTGAAGTAATTTCATCATTTATTTTTATCTTGTTTTATTGATAAGGCATCCTTTATTTTTCTGTTAAATAACGCTCACCAATTGTTATGTTACATTATCATTCACGTGTGGGGAAATTTTTAGACTAATCCTAACTATAGCAGATAGGGCACGGGGCATGAAAATAATTTTCGAAGCATGTGAATTCTGAATATACTACACCCGTATCGGTATGTTTTCACTTTGCAATTTAGATTATATACAGATATAACGATAATTATAATATTTTCATAATAAGGTTGATGTAACCATGTAAAAATTTTTTTCGGCTAATGAAATTTGATGAATTCTAAATTCATCACCTATTGTAAAATTTTAAGTTACGTATATGAAATTTATTTGGAAAAAGACAACTTTATTATACAGGATATAAAGCGATTTTGGTAAAAATCTTAACAGTAATAAAATCCCAATATTTTAAATAAAACAATAAACTATACACTTATTGACAGTGTTACTTGTTCTATATATATCAAAACTCAATGTAAAAATAGGTTGAATAAAATTACACGTTATAAGGGACTAATAGGAATACCAAAAAGAAATGCAAAAATAAATGTGAAAATTTTTGATTAAAATATATTTTAAGAACTTAGCAAATTTTAAAACTTAGTTCTAAATTATATTTAGTTCACCTAATGATTGGAACAGAATTATTATTAAATTTGTCACGCTTGCATGACGAAAAAGTTAATGATATCAAGTATTCATCCCAGAATTTCACATTTCCGATATCTTACAATTGAAAATAATCTAGTGTCATGGTTCAGAACCTCACGTACAATAGTAATCAGTGACATATCAAAGGTTATATATAAATTATTCGAATAGTTATTCGATTCCAATTCCTAACCCTTTCCTATTAATATATTCTAATGCGTCAGAAATTTGTCTGTTTAAGCAGAAAATAATATGTAATTAGCTAAAATGTGGATGAAAAATTGGATATTAAACCAAATAAATCAAAATTACCCGAAGAAATGGTCTTCCCCTACTTTATTCCATAATCCTGATCGAACGAAAAGTACCTTTTGGTTTTCACGTAGTTTTACAAAGTAAACATTGACATTACGGCTGTGATAAGCTTCTACTATTTCTAGGAGAATTTGTGCAGCACTTAATATGCACAAATATTGAATTGAATTAGTATAATTGTAAATATTAGTCATTTAATATTTAATAAGTTATTTTAATAAATTACCTAGCGTCTAAATCTTCCATAATTTCTATATCAAAAATTACATTTTCAATTGGTGACAATCGCGCCTCTTCCGAAGGATGAACGCTCATATCACCAAACGCTTCTAATCGTCTTAACCGATCTTTTAATTGACCGGTGTTAGCAAAATACAAGGGCTCTGATATTCGAACAACAAGTACACCTTCTACGTGCTCAGCAGAATCAGGAAAGTCCTTGATCGGTTTAAATTTGTTGGTATTACCAATACGACCCTATACATTTTTTTTTTTTTAAAAAAAAAATAAATAAATAAATAAAAAAAGATAATTAATATTTGAATAATCATTTGTCAAGAATTTTAAAATCAATGAATTACCAATATGGAAATACGTGGATAAGTGGTATGCTTAACCACAAGCACCAAAGACAATGCAACTGATATCAATGTGCCGTATTCGATTGAAACAAAAATTGTAATAAAGAAAGTCAAAAATAATAAACCAAAATCATTCCATGCTCTAATTTTATACATGAAATGCAAGTCATCGGGAAGCTCATGCATTAATGTTAATGCTGCAAAACTAATAATTGACGCCAAAACCGATTTGGGTAGATAATAGAATAAAGGAAGGAGGAAAAACAAACAAATAAGTACAAATATACAAGTTATCAACCCAGAAAATTGCGTTTTAGCACCAGCTCTATCATTTATGCTACTCCTCGCCATACCACCATATGCAGGAAAACCTTGGAAAAAGCTACATATTAAATTAGCAGCGCCTAAGGCTACTAATTCACGGTTTGCACTGACAGAATAATTATATTTTGTCGCATAAGTTTTGGTAACCACAATCGACTCTACAAACCCAACAATTGAAATTAAAACAGCAGTTTGGAAACAATCCAGTATATTTATCTTATGTGGTGGTGTAGGAATTTGGAAAGAAGGAAAACCACCACCTTGAATATGACCAAGTATAAGGACACCATCCTCATCCCATTTGAAAATAGCACATAAAATAGTATAAATAATCACACATATTAAAATATCAGGAACAAATTGAACCCAAGGATATCGCCTTGAATACCTTGATTTGAGAGCAGCACCTAACAGAAGAAAAATAAAACTAGAGAATGAAACTATAGTCGTAAGTCTATGGGCTTCCCCAAAATGGGTAACGATATAAATGAATTTTTCTACTGTTGAAGAGGCATGACCAACACCATCTCTAATTGCCTGTTCTGTTAACATAGTCATCGTTAAACCTTGTTCAATTATGATCACGATTGCCACAGCTGAGATGAATCCTCTTAAAAGAGCGCGAGATAATACAGAATCGATAAAACCCAGTCTGAATATTCCTATTATGAGCGTCAAGATACCCACAAATAATGTAATCAATCCAGCAATTATAATAGCTGTTTCAGGATCAGATTTCTCTAAATATTTTTGTTGCTGCACAATCGAAGAACCTACAAGCATGGATACTAAAGCTTCGGGACCAATAACCAATTGCCTGAAAAAAATATCATAAATTTGATTAACTAGTGAAATCATCTAATCATGGAAATATAAATCACGGAAATATAAATCACGGATATTTACCTCGAAGTTCCAAGAAAAGCATAAACTATTCCAGGTATTACTATACTATATAAACCGTGAACAGCCGGTAATTTTGCCAATACAGAATATGATAATCCTGAAGGTAATAGAATAGTCGTGACAGTTAACGAGGCGACAAAATCACCCCAAAAAGTTTGAAATGAATAAGATGGTAGCCAGCTGAAGACCGGAACATAATATCTGAGTCGGGTTTTGAAAGTAATCCAAGAAGTGCTTTTATTATTATTCGAATTAACTATAAAAAATATAAAAAAGTTAAATTCCGTTTTTTTTAGAGTTCTTCCACGGATAGACCAACAACAAAATCATAAATATACAAGGTAGAATATCATCCTCTTCTAAACCTCTTGAGGCCACTGTAAGTGGAGTTTCTTCAGTGTAACGCTCATCCTCATCAATTTCCTCTTAAAGTTGATGAGACGCGTTAGATTGTTACTACTACGGTCAGTAATTAACGAAAAGGTAATACGCGACATACCATAGTCAATTGGTGTTGACAAAGTACGCAGTGAATCCGTCATTTTAAGATTCACTGAACTACTTCATAAAATAGGATATGAATTAAAATAGAATTTGACATTTGTAGTTACACGAAGCGATAGTTCAAAATAATCTTTATGTAACATCTCAATTTGTTAACCGGCTATCCTTTCGCGAGGATCTTCAAAATATTTGCCTAAACTCCTACAGATATCACGATAAATCTATGTAGTACATAAACGTAGACACATAATACTTTTTTTGTCATATTATAAAAAAAAAACATTATACGTATCGATAGTGTTAACGTTAAACCGATTGATTACAGGATTATGTTATGGCATTGTCCATAAATTACTAATCATTATTCATAATATATCTATAATAAGGTGTAAAATCAAAAAGTTAATCATAAAAAACAAACGTTTGATTGCTATTACAATGCACATGCATATAAAAATATATATACATTAACATTGTTAATAGGAAATGTTGTTGAATTAATGACAAGATAGGTATGTATGTACTGTATTTTATTGCCAAAAATTTCCCAATCACTTGATCTTAGCGCTGGTTTTTTAAATAAAGCAAAGAAATAGTTACACGGAATGTCAAAAAGGATCTATGTTCGTATATTATCACAAGATAGGATTATGAATTTATATTTAGGCGATCTGTCAATTCTGATGTCAAGAATATCACTATTATTAAAAGCTTTAAATTCCGACTACTTTAAATCAATCAATTAATGTTAATTGATGCTGGCGGTTAATTGATTTTACGAGATGCCGGATAATATAAGCCAATGATAATGCATAGATTTTTTATCAGTTCTAGAAACGAATTGCAGACGATCTTCCCGCTAATTGAAAGGCAATACAATAGAAGTATAGAGCACCTATTGTCTGTACCACGTCATTTGAAAGTTTAAATTGAAATTGATAAGATCACAAGTTTTTAATTCAAAATGAGTTTTTAAAGGATAATATATATTATTAATCTTTCGAGTTATTATCAATTTAACTTGATGTACATTTAAAATTTGTAAAGTATCAGACGAATGAATGAATATATTATTATGATTTGAATTATCTCTATGTTTCGAAATATTTTATTTTGAAATATTTAAAACTTAATAAACATGAAATCAACCAGGCCATTTAAATTATTAAAGTCCATGAAATATTCTTCATAAGAAAATAATAAGCCTAGTTCGAAAATGTCAACTAAAACGATGAAAAGACGTCAAAAAAAAAAAAGAAGTGTATAATTACAAAGGAAAATTGTTTCCAAATTGAAATACATAAATTCGATAAAAAAAATTCTGTTGGATTAATGAATCATACATAATACAACAAACTAAACTTCCAATATAAACCAAAAAAAATTATTTATAAAATTATCCTATAGTCAACGAAAAAAAGATTTAATAAATTCAAAGCCAAAAGGGCTAAATTGAACAATAGCAAATGCAATCATCACTAAAAAAAATAAATAAATAAATAAAAAAAATATGAGCTTTATATATTGTTAAAACAAAAATCAATAATAAATATGATTAAATAACAAACCCCAAAAGACAGGGACCCAAAATAGATATAACATTTTATCCTGTTTCAACCTTCGGAACTTTTCAGTATGTTGCTCTACGCGTGAAAGTTGATATTCATTCAAGTCTTGAATGTCATAACCAACTCGACGGCTAGCATGTGAAATGTTAGCAGATCGGGAAGAAAGTGTTTCCTCTGGTTTAAGTGGATACATAGGGACTATTGGTTGTGAACCATTAAAGGGCCACGGGTAACCAGATACTGTGGCATCACGTGGAATATCTTTAGGTGGCTGCTCTGGCTGCTGTTGTGGTTCCCCTTGTCCAAATAATGTCCTTTTGTAATGGTCCCAAGTGCTTTGAGGTATACCTTCCAGTTTCATACTGCACATTTCAGCTTCAGAAGACATATTCTTTTCATCCTTTACAAGGTTTGTGAGTCCCGTAGGCATTATCATCGTAGGAAAGGTCACCGTCGGTAAAGTAGGAAATTCAATGTTTGATAATGAAGGCATAGATGGTATCGAGGGTCGTGGAATGGATAAATTGGTTCCGAAAGTCATTGTAGAAAATTTCGGGGATGAAAAATTTTGAAGATTCGGCATTTGCAGATTAGGCATTTGAAGGTTTGGCATCTTGATGTTAGGCAAATGAATATTGATCTGAGGTGGTTTGCCTATATTTGGCATATGCATATGTGCAAATGTCCTTTGAAGCCAAATAGTTGATGCTGTAGCTAAATCGGTGGCAATTTCAGACAAAGGCTGTTTAGCAATTTTCTTTTCTTCATCAACCACTTCTGCATCTATAATCCCATCTTCTTTTTTCAATTTATTATTTAATAAACCGCTCGCAGTTTCCGCATCAACCCAAGATATGCTAGGCGTAGTGTTTTCGTTCATACGTTGACGTGATATTTTATCAATGTTTATGTTACTCATGCCATCAACTAGATTTTGGGTTCTCGCATCATTGTCTAAGTTAAGTTCATCATCCTCACTACTATACCAGCTATCATAGTCTGAATTTTCCGATGAAAATTCTTCGGATGAAGTTGGCGATAAAGACACTCCTGAATCAACACGATAACTAGCAATAATGGAAGCAATATTATGGAAATTTCGGGACGCAGCCAAATCACTAGCAGACTTCTCATCAGAATTACGTATATCATCGGATCCAGCTGTAAAGGTAAAAATTAGTTACTTACTAAAATTTGCAATCATGAAAGGAATAAAAACTAACCCGTTAAAAGTAATCTCACAATATCCTCTCTTCCAGTCCATGCAGAATAATGTAACGCTGCACAAATTCAAATTAAATAATTTAAAGATAAGCATAAAATGTTATGGATGATTCTGAAATCAGATAATGTTGTAATCGGATGATGCTAAGAATTGAACTTATATAATATGAAATTTTAAGTATAGCGTTAGGTTCGTTAAATAAAAGAGTATAGGTGAATTTTAAAAGGCTTATTAACTATATTTAACAGATTAAATAGAGGCCCAATTTCTCATCATCCTTAACATCATCCGAATTGTAGAACACGAACTTTTCCTAAGCAGAAGTTACACATACCAGTAAATCCATTTTTATCTTGTAAATCTACATCAATGTCTTTTTCTATAAGATATGTACATAGACGTTTATAGCCTAACATAGCAGCCATATGCAACATGGTGTGCTGTTGGCGATTTTGAAGAGATATACTGTCATATTCTGTTTCAAATGCATCCATCAAGGCGAGTGTTGCTACTACATGTTCCTCAAAATTATCTGTCCTCGAAACCTGACGTGCAAATGAGGAAAGATGATGTTGCATTCCATTCATATCTCCATTAGAATTGTTGCCTGAACTTTGATTGTTATCAGTACCTCCAACAATACGCATGGCAATATTTCTCGCGTCTTCTAATTTTCCGGTCATTTTCATTCCTACAACCTGAAGTGCCAATTCCATCAACGCCCGATCTGAATCTAAATTATTTTAAGGGAAAGATGTTATAAGTACTGAAGTAAAGTGTAAAAATAAAATAAATTTTTAAATTTTATATATAAGAATTAATTACCATCATTATAATTGAAAAAAACAACTTCTTGTTCAGAATTATCCGTTAGATTAATAGGAAATTCTTTAAAGCTCACAACAACAGGTCCTGGAGTAGGTGAAGGAGGTAAGAGACAAACCAGTGTATTTGGTGACCAATACTGGGTTGGAATTGCAGGAGTTTCACCAAATATGCACGTAAGCCCATCTTTTTTTTTTAAAAAAAATAATAATAATAATAAAAATAAAATTATATGAAATTAAAACAACTAATGAAATATGAAAAGAATTGGCAAATAAACAAACCATAGAAATCGCTTCCTAAAACAGTCACTTCAACACCACCGTACGTAGGACCCTCGGAAGGAATCAACCTGCTTATCCTTGGTAACGAGAACCCATTAAACGTACTATTTGGATATATTGCTGCAGTATTTCCACCAGCATTATAAAAAGGCCTCCTCAGCATTGTATTATGGCTGTGTGAATTGTGTATTCGCATGGGACCTCCCCCACCTTGATGAGAGTTTACAACATTAAAATGATTGATACCACCAATGCTTGGATGCAATCGTTGTTGCTGATATAATGAATTTACATTAACACTGCTGATCTGTGCAGGAGCCATAGATAAAACAACGTTAGATGAACTATTGCTAGTTAAAATAGGATATGCAGCTTGAGGATTGGAAGTAATAGCTGCAGCTTGGTCAGTGTTTTGAAATGAAGCACGAGGTGCATTAAGTACATTAGGCGTGCTTGGTACACTAGTTGCGATAGGAGTAACAGGTGACACTGGTGATAAAGGTGAAGTAGGTGACGATTGAGATTGGAATGTCAATGATGGCTGAATTTGTAATTGTTGTCTGTTTGGACTAGTTTTTTCTTGCTTTATCGGCGAAATAGAGTCAGAGTTTTGGACAAGGGATGAAGGAGACGATGGTACTTCAGATGACTTAGAGTTCGGTGATAATACAGATGAGGAAGCGTGCGATTCACCAGTCGGAGTAGGCGATAATGAAGATAACTCGTTATTAATTTTATTCTTTGTAGAAGAATTACTAGACACAGAGTTCGCGCGACGATCATATTCAGCTTTTGGACGTTTTCTTCCAACGCCTACTTTAGTTTTTGATGACTTGTGATCATCTGTTATCATAATAGGAGGTGACATTCCTGTCGCTATAATCGTATTGGCATAATCTTTCATTACGAAATATATACTAAAAATCAAATATAAAATAGATAATGAATAAATATAATCAACTATATATGTATTTATATTTATATGTATAGAGATATAGAAACATATCTGTTGTGCATACCAAAATCCTACTTTCTCATTATGATGACGACAATAACAAGTGATCCTTGTCGGTAAAATGGTATCACCACTACTAAAATCTACAATTTCACTACAATTAAATAAAAGAATTTTGCGTTGCTCCAACTGCATTGTTTTCTCATCATCCAAATCCATGGGTTTATTTGAATCATCGTTGGAAGTAGCATTCGGATTAGTCTTGGAATGCTTATTTTCTTTTTTACGTTGTGATCTTTTTCTCTGTTAATTCAATTCATTATAATTATTTGGTCAAATCTTTAAAGCTTATATCCAAGAGTCTCGAAATATTTAAATCGATCATATAACATTTACCTCACGTTGAACACAACCAAGGCATGTAAGAACTTTTTTAGGCATTTCACTTGCACACACAACTGTAGCTTCTAAATTTAGAACACCCTTTTCTGAAATATTCATAGCACTGTCCTGCGGATTCCTTGCATTTTTTGTCTTAAGTTTTTCTTTGGCAACCATGTATTCGGGCAATCTTAAATGGGACCATAATGGCACCTTTTCTCCTTTGTCAGTTACAAGTTGTAGACACAATTTTATTTGTGTTTCTACGCGAGACTTTGCACCAGTCTGTGGAACTCCGAGAACACGTATTTGAAGCCTGTAATTGTGAAGAATTAGCAAATAATTTAGAACGAATAATATAATCATTGTCAAAATATATATATATAAATATAAACTTGATCAGAACAAAACGAACCCTTTATCACTGATATCCTGCACCTGGCATTGTCGATCTGCTTGCGTTGATGAAATATTTTGTTCTCTTAGGGAAAAATAAAAAATAAAAAATTTTATTCCTTTTAGCATGTATACGAATAAAAATTTCTATAAGTAATTTTTTTTAAAAAATGCAGTTTACATGCTGTTATCCGTTCCATTAATATATTCCAGATAATTTATTCCATTTGGAGCAAAATTCGGTATTCCTTGGGAAAACGAGGGTGACATAAACTGAATAAAAATAAAAATAAGTAATAATTATAAATAATAATAGCGAGATGTAAAGGCAAGATTAAGCTTTATTAATGATCGATAAAGAGCAATTACATTATTTATAGATTGTTGATGCATATCACCCAAAGACGTAGAATTAAAGACTGTTTGGTGAAAATGAGAAACTTGCGGATCGTTTTGAGTAGCCGGGGGTTGCAACTCTCGAGTAGGTGTTTGCTGTGGAGTTAGAGTTATAAAAAACAAAGGTGTGTTCGAGTCAACGACCTCTAGTTTTGGATCCAATAAAGTTGGTGGGTTATCTTGAGATACGTCGTTAGTAGAAGAAAAATATAAATTGTTCATCGTAAAGTCATCCGATACCGAAGAGTACGGTGAGTCGCAAGCGTTGTCTTCCGGGGAAGTTGGCATTTTTGCAAAGTTTTAACTATCTTTATTATATGGTACTTTGATGATGCATCTACGTAACAACTTAATATCATATAAATTTTTTTTTTTTTTTTCATGCAGTGACACCGAAATACTTATATAGTCGGCGAATGGGTATATAAGTAAAAATGGAATTATATTTAGTAAGTTCTGCATATATATTGTTAAGTTAAAGATTCTACGGAATGCCTTTTTAAGATTGTGGATGGTTACAACTAGTCACATGGTATCGTATAGAAAGAATCAATACAAAGTTGGACGTCAACGTCAAATCTTAATATTATCTAATGTACATACCGTGTGTTACTCATGGATTGTATTTAGGTGGTGATTGGATAATCAGTCAAATTTTCTTTTTTTTTTTTGTATTTTTCAAGCCAAGTTATGGATTGTAAAAGGTAAATTCGGTTTAAGAATGATTAAAAATTATTTCTACGTAAGTACGTATTGTACCTTTGTTAATCATGTATAATAAAATAGGACTCATATACCACAAGATACCGTAGTTGTATCACGTAAATCAATATTTGGCCAATTTGATTATGTTGAAACGGAAGAAATTAATATTAAAGAGAATATAGAAAAGAGGCTATTTGAGAAGTTGCAAGAAGTTGTAACGATAGAAGGTAAAAAAGACAATCCGTGATCCATCCATGCTTATGTGAAATTATATTTCGTTTATTGACAGAATCTAGACGTCAACCGTAGGAATGATGATGATAATCAATATATGCAAGAAAATCAACAGGATGTACGTACGTACGTTAAGATTTTCTCAGCACGTATTGGTACATATTAATTTACATAATTGTTCCATAATATTGTTGATCTTACGATAACGATAAATAGTGTTTCGCCTATTTGCACGTGATCCGCCTACAAAGATTTTTCTAGAATCTAATGAAATCAAAGATTATAACAAACAAGTTGGAATCATTAAAGCGAAAGTTGATGAACTTAAAACTCAAAAGTATCTTAATAATAATCATTGAATATCATTCACCGCATCTCATCTTATTCAATTAAGAATCCAAGTATCTTATTTTAAGGAGTGAAGCAAAAAGGCTCGAACAAATTATCGATACGGTGATAACTTCGTCGGAAGTGATTATGCAATCAAAAATTCCATGGGAGCGTAATTTTGTATCACATAAAGTGTTACATGTGCCATATGAAGATCCAAAAAAGTCACTTATAAAAAGGTCGAAAAGGTTAAGTAAGAAAAGAAGAGATGCTATAAAAAAAGGCAAGTCATGACATATTGTCATTAAACTATCATTATAAATATTGGAGAATAATCTAATAATCTGATTAAAACAAAAGGTACAACAAAGAAGAATAAAGCACATGGTGGAATTTGCCCCGGTTGGCCAAGAGGTGGCAAAGATTATGCTTATGGATGGAGATTAAACTGTAAAATTAAAATTAATTGCGAATCTAAAGTTTATAAACGAGAAATACATACTAAAAAAGGAATCGTGCGAAGATTTGAGCGAGTTGCATAGAATGGCATTGCTATTTCTAAAAGTATTTGTTTTCATTAATAAGTATATATTTTAACAATTTTCTTCGATAACTTAATAATAATACATTAAAGATTGCCCTAAAAATATAAATATAAGTTATGTATTGGATTTAATAAAACATATTAATGTATGTGACATGTTTTACATACTTTAAACATAGTGCTACAACATCAAAAAATCTAAAGCATCTTTATCATGAAGGAAAGATTTGCATAAATATCATGGATTTCAATTAGCAGTAATCTTTTTTATGTTAGAAAGAATGCGCCTAAAATATTTTCAAGAATAAAATCATATGAAAAAGTGTTATCATTAACTTTCTAATAAAATTATGTACATGATATTTTACATGTAAGCAGTTACACATTACAATTTTTTTTACAGCAGTCTAGCAAATTACGGTTTAATATACGCCCAAAAAGATGTGCATCAAATATTAAAATTTCGCATTATTTATTCTTTTTAAAATATATAACTACATTTCCTTTATAAATTGTATTCGGTTTATCATTATTTCAATAATGGATATTATCAACGTTGATATTTGCTCTTTTTGTTTAGTAGTAGCTAAAAATATTAAAATTTTAATTTTTTCTTTTTGGACGTTTATTTTTGGTGCAGGGCCCACTGAACTGTGTGCGGTCATATGATTAGCAATTAACCAATCAAATTCTACTTTCCAAAATATTAATAAAAGATATTTGTAAATATTTTTAATGTAAACATTAAAAGCACTATTTTTTCACGATATAGTATCTGTCTGATATACAGTATGTATAATATAATATACGTATTTTGATTTATATACTTTTTATTTTGTATTTAGTATAACAAAAAAAAGACACATTATGCTAAATAGATTAGTTACAACAACCATAATTCTGGGTTAAACTATGCTAGAATTAATAATTTTGCTTAAAATTATTTATTTTATAATAAAGTAGTAGCTTACAAATTAAATAATTTATTTAGATACGTAATAATTTTATTATATACTGTAATTTTAATATTTAAAAATTTTAATTTTAAACAATTACTAACTTCAAATAAAATAAAATTTAAAAATAGTATTGTGAAAATTTCTATATATACACTGTGTATATACATGGGTATTATCTCAAAATTCTGAAAATAAAGGCATTTTAATAAAAATATTTTCCAAATTTTAATTAACATAAACTATAACTCTTTCCAACTCAAAGCTAACCTTTACCCTAATCTTAAGCAGGATGATATTTTATAATTTGTATATGTTACGTGAATTTGTAAATCAATATAAATACGTGTGAACTAATACGTATATAAATTTTCTTTATAAAAAATGTAATCTATAAATAGTATAGTAAATTTTAAATTAATACGTATTTACAGATTTTTAGTTATACGTATTTATATTATTTACGCATAAAAAAATATTATGGCGCACTTCTGCATTTGATGCATCTATATTTGCAAATAAAAACAAAGTTAGGGCAAAGTTAAAGATGAGTTAGAATTAGGATAAGGGAATACCCTAGTAGATTTTGAGATATAGTACAATATTACAGTAAAATCATAAAACACTATCGCTATCAGATAACAAAGCTTATATTATTATAAAAATAAATATGCTGTGTCTATATAGATTTATTAAAAGTATAAACTAAATTGATATTTTTCAAGATAAATATATAATATATACACAAGAAAACTTTTAATAAAACAACACGTAGAGGTGTAATTTCGAAATTTGGCCCGAATTAAGCTTAATTCGGGCCAAAATAACGCCCCTGCGCGTCATTTCACGAAAATACGGGTATTTAAAAATTAAAGATTTAATACTAAATTTTAATATTAAACATTTATCTATCTTTTCACTTTATCTAATTTTAGTATATCTTTATAGCTCTATATTTGTTGTAAATACCGTAAAAAACAAATTTTAATATAATTTGTTATAGAGTTATTGTATTTTTTACTCCAATCCTAATAAAACCTTAATTTTAACCGACTTCTTATTAGAACATTCCGTATCTATCTAAATTTATCGCTTAACTTTTATTTAGTCTATTTAGATAACAGTTACTAATTTATTTAGCTCTGCCAAAGTTTTTCTCTTAGATTATTCTTCAATATATAGTAAATGAATGCTACAAGTTTAAAATCAATCCTATTATTATAACAAAAACTTGTTTATATTACTATAATTTGCAATATAAAATATTATATGAACCCATGCAAAAAAAAAAATTATTCCGACAACAGTCAACAATTATTCTCACAATGACACCATTGATGCAATTATTTTCAAATAATGAGGCCAATAATTAAAGTTTGACTTAAAAGTTAAATCATGCTCATCTCTATCTACAGGCAATGCAAGAAAGCCAAAAAAAAAAAAGGTAATAAAGCTTCATTTTTATAGCCTTCATTGAAAATTTTTCAAGAGATTAGTTAAGTTCAAATAGCAATAACATTAATATATAGATATAACTATTATACTTCACAATATTGTGAGCTTTACGTAGCAGTAGCGATAATTAATAATAATATATATACTGTATAGTAATAAATACACTGTCTATTAAATTGTATCTTCAATGCTGTCAAGTAGTTCTATTCCATCACATTCATCATCTTTGCAGTAGAAAATCTGTTCCTTGTAAAAGAATTTCAGGGATTCACCTATTGCTAATTAGCTTAAACCATCTGGCCATATGTCTGCAGCTCTCATCGAGAATAAACAACTCCTATTCTATGTTTCCTGTGCTACTAAGGCAACAATGTAGCCGAGAATTACGCTGCGTTTATTTTTTGACCATTTATAGGAACAACGGTAAGTGCGAGTTTCGCACATATATGCCTCAAGTTTTAGTCTGAGGCACAACGCTATATGCATACATGTACGCCGCCTCTAATCGTACAACATCAGTAATATTAAGCTTTCGTGATTCAATTTGTTGTTTCAAGGCCGTAATCGCTGCTTTCTTAATTTAATAATTACATTTGAATTATTCAAAGAATTTATTTATTCATTACAAATATTGTGTCTAAAATTGTAATAAACATTTTCAAATGTGTTTATATTCATAAATATATGACATAATTTGAATCAAATATCTAGTTCGAAATCTTTAACGTTTATTATTTTTAGATTCTCATTCTTATGTATATGTGGGTTTAGGAATTTATTAAATCGATTGTTTTTTTAACTCGTGTATTATTAGCATTGTATTTTAATATTTTCTTAATTCTTCACTTTGCAATAAAAAAGGTTTATGAATTTGTTACATTTAATATAATGTTACGGGATGAATTGTATTGTTTTTAATTTATATAATAAAAATGGGGAATTTACATGATAAGGCAATTCGCCAGAAACGTGACTACGGTGATTTGAAATGTTTCTTTATAATGTTCTTATGTGTCACTTCTTCGCACATAAGTGTCGTACTAACCTCACCCAAATTGTGTTCTTTAAATAGTTTCTTTTGGAGTATGATCCAAAGGGGTTTTTTTTATACTTATTAACTCTTCTCCAAGGCTTTGATTAAAGTTTACACTTTGCTATGCGTATCTGCATTGTGAATATTTGGCTTCGCGTTTGTTTACTTCGGTTGTTTACCGCTCTGCCGACAAGCCTCATGCCTTATGGTTCGTACAGCCTCGTTCTTTGTGGCGTCCAAATTTCTTCGTCACATGATTTATAAGTTGATTTCGGAAATGTCACTTTTAGCCCGTGATAGTAATAAAAACTTTTAGAATATGTGCATGTTTCCATTGCTATTTTACGGGGTTCGTCTTTCGATAAGGAGAACGAAGGTTATGTAAATGAGTAACTTCTATTAGAAAATATGATATTACAAAAGAAAATTTCGTATAATATTACCAATAATATTTATTATCATTTAAGCTCCGTACGTACGTACGTACTGTACGCGCGTAGGTGGGTTATAATCGTAGTATTGTCGAATTATCATCGGTAATTGAAACATAACAGTAAACAATTTGCTACTAATGATACAGGCATTTCTCAGAGTAGTGATTACTTACGGCATTACGGCTATGGCGTAGAGGTCGTACTACCCTAAGGTTACATTGCCGTGAGTGATGTAGTATGCCGTATAGCGTTGCTACCTCATAGGCAGACATTCGTATGATTGGATGTTTAAATCAAATTAATTTTACATTATTATACAGTTTTTAAAAAAAAGAAAACTACTACGAATAAACAAAAAAGAAGTATATAGAAAGTTTTATTAGGGTTGTAGGACTCCACTATTAAAAATAATCAAAATTCTTTTTTGTTTTAGAGAAGTTAGCATGGTGATAACCTAATTTTAAGAAGTCGCTATTATGCTAACTTCTCTAAAACAAAAAAGAATTTTGATTATTTTTAATAGTGGAGTCCTACAACGCTGATAAAACTTTCTATATCCTTCTTTTTTGTTTATTCTCTTTTTTTTAAAAAGTACTTTAAACTGTATAAATAATCTAAAATTAAATTGATTTAAACATCCAATCATACGAATGTCTGCCTATGAGTTGCTACCCGAAAAATTTCACTGGCCAATCAAAACTCAAGTAAACACAAAAAAATCAATAGCTTTTGTACGAGATGGTTACATAATTCTAATCAAATTTTCGTATAGCATCCAATCAAGTTGCTAAATATACATAATCAAATCCTCTTTGTCAATTTCTTTAACATTACATTATTTATTTAATGAAATCCGATCAATTACATTCCATAGTTCTAAGCTGAAATTCTCCGATGAAATCATTAATATTCTTATTTTTGCTTGTCGGGATCACATGTCAGACACCATGCTTTAATTGTCTTTATTACAAGTACGCTTTGCCGTATTTAGTTACCATTTAATCATCGTCAAATATTATATCTATTTTTTATATTATTGAAAATTTATTCTGACCAAATAGAATGGCAATCTGAAAGGTATTAGTTAATATAACTTATATAGTAAATAAGTGTTTTTTTA